TGAAGGGAGATGTCGGACAGTGCAAGATATGACAAAATAATAATTTGTAAATTATCAAGGGTCCATGAGGGAGGGGAAACATGAGGAGCTAATGCCAGGGGCTTGGGTGGAGAGCGGATGTTTTGAGAATGATGAGGGCAATGAATATACAAATGTGCTTTACACAATTGATGTATGTATGGAATGTGATAAGAGTTGTATGAGACCCTAATAAAACGATTAAAAAAATGTACTCCTGAAAATAAAATCTCTAATCACCATATTATGAAAGGGTACCTGCGGTCAGAACTCCTAGAAAATGTCCCTATTTCTACATCTTACATTCTTTAGTGTCAGTCGCTCACAAGTTCTCCAGAAGTCCATGTAGGAATTTTTAAGGCATTTGTTTTCCTTTTCTTGTATGACCTGATTCCACCGCTAGTGTAGAATAGGCCGTCTATAGCATGACATGTACAAGAAGTGGTGTAGTGTCAACGTAACATAAGAACTTGGGATTGTTCGTACCCTTCATTACATTCCAAAGTGACCCATGCTAATGTCCAAAGCAGAATGCTAACTGTGATAACAGGTCATAGTTAAAAACAGCTTTCTTTGAATCCCCAGGGTCTCGGGCTCCAAGGTACAGGCTTGTGTTTGTATCGTCTGTTCTGGTAAAAGGTCTTGGTCACAGGGCAACAGGGAGCTTGCAGTCGTTGGCAGATCCAACACACTTCCGTTAGGTGATGTTGAGGCGCGAGTGCTCCTTCCCCCTCCGCCGTCCTTTCCCCTTCCTGCACAGACACACGGACAGGGCGATGGCTCCCAGGATGATGACCACCAGAGCCACCGCTCCAAGGATGATGACGGTTTCTGAAAGACAAAAGGCGCCAAGCGGAATCAGTGGGGGTGCTCCCACCCGCGATTTTGCGTCCTCAAATGCTTCTTTCCTCCAAGCTCTCCATCACACTAGGTGAGGAAAGAATTTGTCAAGCCCTCTAGGCTTCGGGGCAATTCAAAGAGCCGCCTCAGAAACCGAAGAGTGTTCCCAGTCTAGAAAGGGTTCACAGAGAGGAGAGCAAGAACCGCTGTGGCAAAGAAGTGGTTAGAGGACCCTGGCTTGGCAGCGGGTGGAGACAGGAGCCTCACCAGGGAAGGAGGGAGGGACAAAGTGTTACCAGTGTTGGGGAGAGAAGAGAGCCCTAAGAAGGCTTTGGACGGGGGTGGGAGTCCCGAGGTGAATGCTCAATTGCTACCCCAAAGCTTGCAGGGTTATGTCCATTCCGAGGTGCCTTGGGACAAAGCGGGGGGAGCAGCTTCTAAGGAAATCGGCCCCTGGGAATTCTATGAAGCAGAGTTCTCCTCTGGCCCACACAGGCTCCAAACGGACTCGGGGGCCACTGGTGGGGGTGGCAGCATGGGGGTGGCATTTGAAATCGTTCCTCAGGGGGCACAGTTCCGCAGAAAGAGCGAGGCAGGGGAGCAGAGAAACCGGGATGCAGAGGGCGTGTGGAAGCGTACCCGCCAGGTGGGAGCGGAGGGGGAACTCCACAGGAAAGGAGGGTGCTATCTTCCCAGAGTTTGGTTTGGTTTGGGCGTGCTTTTACCATTTGAAATCTTGTCTTAGCAAGGCCTGGGCCATCGTCACGCTGGTTTGTCCCTTTGACATGCTCAGAGTACTCCCCCCCTTCCTAGGGGGGCTACGAGGTGCTGAGTGCCGCCTCTTCACCCAGTGGATCTGAGCGCAGCGTGTGCGCATGCACCAGCTGGTCAGGTGCCCACCCCCCACATGGGGGTGTATCTGACCCACTCAACCTCTTTCCTTGAGGGCTTAAACCTCATACCCCCCTACCTATCCTTCCTTCCTTCCTAAGCGTCCTGGAGGAGCCATGGCTAAGCCCGCTGCTGCTAACCCAAAGGCAGGCAGTTCAAACCCACCAGCCACTCACTCCCTGGGAAAAAAGCCTTGGCATCTTCTCCTATGCAGGTTTCACCTGGGGAACCCGGTGGCGCCGTTCTACTCTGCGTCACTGTGAGCTGGCGTCTGTGCCAGCAGCAACCATGACACTCCACACTGGTGCTCGCTGGGCCTCTCAGCGAGCTGCTGGTCCAGAGGCGGTACCCACCCTGGCTCCATGCAGTCAGGAGAAAACAGCCCAGAGACATCGGTGATGCGACGCTAAGGGTGTGCTAAGCACATGCCATGTGACGGCCCAGGGAGCTACAGATGCCCTGTGGACCCCAAGGAACCAGCCCCCCACGAAGGAAATGTTGCTGGATGCTAAAATAGAATTTTAAAAAGGACGGGTGGGGGTGCTGTTTCTCGCCAAATACTTTATAAACGAAGTGCCTTCCTGGCTCTGAGTGGGGTGCTCCGGAACACTCACCCCTGGAAATGCCTTCCTCCCTGCTGGTGCACCGGCTGAGGCTTTCTGGGCTCTTCTGATTTGTCTTCCGAGAGAGAATCACAGCCTGGACGCTGAAGCAGTACTTCCCTCCTTCTTCCACTTTAACCAAAAACTCCTCGGAGTCCGTCTGGATGCTTTTCTGGGAGAAGGTAGAGAGTTCTTAAGTCACCTTTACTAAGACGCCGAGGAAGAGGCCCGGGGCAGGCATGGACCAGCTGATGTGGACGAATGGGAAGCATGTCTGGGAGAGCAGCATCCTTGATCGTGGCTAAGGATGTCTTTTCTAAGACGTTCCATTCAATTCACCGCCACCAAGTTGATTCTGACACACAGGGGCCCTCTAAGACAGGGCAGAACTGCCCGTGGGGGCTTCTGAGGCGGTACATCTTTCAAGGGGCAGAACGCCTCATGTGTCTTCCTCAGAGCAGCTAGTGTATTTGAGCTGACCACCTTGCAGTTGGCAGCCCAATGCGTAACCCACCGTAAGGATGATAGCCTAGAAGACGCCACGGGGCAGTTCTACTCTGCCAGCTGGAGTCTGAGTCAGCACCCACATGACCGGCTCGAACCGCAGCCACAGGGACGTGCGTGATACTCCGGGCCAGCCCTTTCAGAGCACCGGGAGGGAAGCTCCCAGTCCCACGGCAGCAGCCGACATCGCAGGTAGATCTAGAACGTGAGGCCTGGCTTCCCACCTGGCAGGGACCCTCCTCAGTCAGCCCCCATGCTGCTATCTCTGAGCTGGAGAAGCGACAGGAAGTGGGTCAAATCAAGGAGCCACCACTTAAAACAACCCACAGAAGCAAATGAAAACACACAAACTCCTCACCTTTCCTGTGGTTGAAGCTTTCCAATAACTCAGAACATAGCTCAAGTCCTTCTGAAACACCTTCCGGAGGCTGAGGAACGTGCCATTCGCCCTGACTAAGGTCAGCGGATCTTGTACTGTCACGTTCAGTTTTGTCCCAACTTGTTCAAAACCCTTGATTGTTGGCTGTATGAGATTTGCTGAAACATAGACAATGAGTCTGCTTAGATCCGAAGGATTCAAGGAAAATCTGACTGACTTGTTGCAGTTAGTAAGCCCTTCGTCATTCTCCATAAAACACCTGCATAGGAACGTGACTCCTGGTTTACAGCAGCATTGTCCACGCAGACAGAGCTGCAGAGGCAATTGTAAACTTCTTAGTAGCTACGTTGTTTACTTTTTCTCATTGCTACTGAGTCCATGCCTACTCATGGCGGCCCTATAGGGCAGGGTCGAACTGCCCCTGTGCGTTTCGGGGACTGTGACTTTATGGACGTGAATAGAAAGCCCCATCTTTCTCCTGAGGAGCCACTGGTGCTTTTGAACTGCTGTCCTTGAACCTAGCAGCCCAACCACAGCCTTACCAGGGCTCCTTTAGGAAAAAAAATTTTAAGGTACAATTAATTCTGATAATGTCTTATTTACTCAAATATACATAAAGATAGCATCTTAACAAGTAGCTAACATAAAAAATCCTGTTCAGATATTTACATTTTTTAAAGCACAGTTATGTGTTTTATACTTAGGTTGGTCATATTTCAAGAACTCAACAGCCACAGGGAGTTATGGCTGAAGGGTGCAGTTTCTAGGATTCCATGGTTTGGGGGTCCATGGTTTGGGTAGGATGGTTTAGGGTCCAAGGTTTGGGTAGGATAGTTTGGGGTCCATGGTTTGGGGTCCATGGTTTGGGTAGGATGGTTTGGGGCCAGGGGAAAGCCTTTGGCACCTCATTGGATTGCCATAATGGCTCAAAGATCTCATGTACTTTGGTTGACTAAGAGTAAAATAGATTACAATCATTTAACACCAACATATACAAGCAATAGTGTGTGTGTATGTACATGCACACATATACCATGTTGATTCTCCAATAAGCAAGGTAAGCACAGGCTTACTTGGGCTTACTTGCTAATCAGCAGTGCACAGTTCTATATTTGCGCACCAAAGATTCCACTTGCAGGTGCAGCTGGCACCTGCCTCTCTCCCAACCAAGCCCACAGCACCTTCCTACCAAATCAAAGGCTCTTTTCACATTTGCAAATCCCAGGTAGGGGCAGAGTACCCTGTCAGCAAGGCTGCAGGTTTACTAATCTGTACTGAACAGTCTCACATGTTTTTTTTAAGCAGATGAGAAATCAAAGATGCAGTGAAGCCAGAGTAAAATTGTTCACTACAGTTTAGTAAGGCACAAGTAAACCTGTGCTTACCTTGCCTACAGGATAATCCACCCCAAGACGCTCATGCCAAAGTAGCAGCAGATCCTAAAGAGGGGATCCCCCACCCTGGGGCTCAGGGAAGGCAGCCAGCTCCCCTTCTTTTAAGCCTCAAAGTCAATCATGGAACAGGTGTATCCTCTCCACCCCCAGACACTCTGCTCTCACTCATGAGGTGGCCAGGGGGCCACATCTAGAAGCACAAAGAACATCTCTTCGTTGTTCTGGTCAGTAGGCCTGGAAAGAGCCGCTCTTCTCACCCGGCTCCACGTGTCTCTCTGTCCTCCCTGGTCTGGGGCTGGAGATGTACACGCACACACACATTCAAAGCTCTCCCTGGGAAAGGAGCCTCGGCATGCTCTTGTTCGATCCAAGGTCAGCCTAGTTCACTGGCGCAACGATTGTGCAGGGAAATGCTCCCCCTTTTAAAAGCCAGCGGGCAAGGCATGGGGCTGGGCACTGGCTGATGGCGGCTCCGTCGCGGCCCATGGAGGAAACAAACTGGCAGTCTCAGTATGGGATAGGAAGGGCACTGTGTGGGCTTTCCTCTTGCCTAAGAACCCCGAACCCGGACTTCTGCTCCGAGGCTGGCACCGCTCATTCAGGATCGAAGAGGACAAGGCAAGCCCACAGCCCGCACTGACTTCTCACTCCCAAGGATGCAGAGAGTTGCTGGCAGGCACTCGGTGACACCATCATCGACTCAGAAATTCACGTCCCCTGGAATGCCAACCTCATCCAGTGCGAGTGGACAGGGCTGTGGCCCCTACTGGTTTCTGAGAAAAACAATGTGTTTATGTGTAAATGGTTTGTCTAGTCTACTGCTTGCTAAGCTCATAAGCTCACAAGAGTATCAAGAAGTTCATAACAAGAAAAGAGCCCTGGTGGGGACGTGGTTAGGTGCCAATCTGCTAATGGAAAGGTTGTCGGTTCGAACCCAGCAGCAGCTTTTTGGGAGAAAGGTATGCCGGTTTGCTTCTGTAAAGATGACAGGCCCTAGGGGGCCGTTCAACTCTGTGCTATAGGGCCAAGATGAGTCAGCGATGATCCCAGGGTCAGGGGTGTCACAACGACCAAACCGCTTCCCTTGCTACTCACTTTCTAAGTAAGGGATGAAACTCGGGGACTTGTTAAATGAAGGCTCCTCTACAGGGTCAGGGTCATGTCCACTCCCGGGCTCCAGGACGGTCAGAACTCTCGCTGTGTACGTCGCCTTCACGTCCTTCACGATCTCATCCGTGAGGTCACACTCGGTGTCTCTGGTTTGGAAACATTTGTTTTTCCAATCTCCTAATTGTGTGCTGATGAAAGAAAGAAACGGGCGTTTGGAACAGCACGATTTATGAGCAACGAAAGTTGCATTCAACACTGGGTGTCCTGGCGGGAGCTCTGCAGCCACGTGAACAGTGCGTCCGGCTAACCCTGCGAGGCAGTGCCCGCCCTCTGCTGAGTGCTTTGGCTGCCGCCCGAGTCTTCTCAGCAACCAGGACATGGCTCTGCGAATGGGCCTGTGTTTACGTAAAAGACAACCAACCGAGGCGAGGAGAGGTGGTGGTTCGCTCTCAATCGCACAGCTGGACTTTGCATCCGGCAAAGTGCTAACCCCTGGCTGCGGCCTCTTCACCACTGGAGCCGCCGAGTGTGCAGCCGAGTTGTGTCAGTGGCGTGGGAGGAAGAGTGACTGTACTGCTGTGTAGTCTAGTCAGCTTCTTAAACGACAGCACAGTTGTGTCCAGTCAAGTAGTGTCCTTAGAGAACAGAGTAAAATAGCCCCAGAAGGGTTCCAAGATGGGCATGTCTTATTCCCCCTGAGAAGCTCCTGGGGGATTCAAACTGCCGACCCTTTGTCTAGCAGCTAAGTGCTTAACCACTATGCCACCAGTGCGCCTGAGATCATAGGACACTCTAATGATTATCATGACCATCTCTCATCACCATTATCAGTGTGGCTATTAATCATTTATTGAATTTACTATATGCCATGACCTGTACAGGGCTCTTTTCATGTTACTTCACTTGAGATGAGCTTTCTAAGAAGGTATTGAGGAGCCTGGGTGGCATAGTGGGTTATGAGTTGGGCTGCTAACCACAAGATCAGCAGTTCAAACCACCAGCATGCTCCAAGAGGGAAAGACGAGGTTTTCTGCTCCTGTAAAGAGTGACAGTCCTGGAAACCCACAGGGGCCGTTCTACTCTGTCTCAGGGGGTTGCTTTGAGTTGGCTGTGAGGAGAGTGTAAGAAGGCGTTGGCTCTTTCATAGAGATGAGAACTCAGGCGCCCAGGGACACTGGGCAACTCCTTCAAGGTCACACCGATGACGAGTGACAGAACGGGGTATCTGGCCCATCTGCCTCCTAATGCTACATGCCTCCCTCACTTGTACAAGATAAGGACCCGTCCTGCCCAATATTTCAGAATACAATACAGGTAGGCCCTGCCTAATAAAATCAGAGAGGCCAACAGACTGGAACACACATCTTTCTTGTGTAAAAAGCAAAGAAACAAACAAACAAACAAAAAACCTTGCTGTCATCAAGTCAATTCTGATTCATAGTGACCCTACAGGAGACTAGCACTGTCCCTGTGAGTTGCCGAGACGGTGACTCCTGACTGGAGTAAAAAGCTCCATCTTTCTCCTGAAACATGACTGGTAGCTTCGAACTGCTGAACTGTGGTTAGAAGCTCAACATGTAACCCAGCATGCCACCAGGGCTCCTGGGGAGACATCAGCAAAGAGGCCAGGATTCAACAGACTCCAACTGGAAATGAAATTCTCCTAACATCCCCAAACAATCCTTAGAAATGTGTGCAGACTGGTGGCTACCTGGTCCTTCCCTTCAGCATCACCTACTGCTAAGACCGTACTCCCCATTGCTGGTCAGGCTCCCATTCCACGCTCCCAGAGCCCCCAGATCTCCTCCTCAGAATGTCTCTCCTTCCTCTGGCCCCTGAGGCTGCCCCTCCATACAGCACTTAAGGGACCCCTGTCTGCTCTCGGCCCCGTGGCCATGCACTGTGTCCCCGGTGAAGCAGCAGGCTTTGCACACAGCAGATGAGCTGAACTCAAAGGCTTCATGACTCCATTGAGTGGGGCGGGGCAGCAGGGGGAGCAAGCTGCCACGGAGAGTCAACTGCCTAAATCCAGGCACAGGAGCCACCGACATGGGTTTATTTGTTTGCTTGTTTTCAATCTGAATTAAATAACTAGAGTAGAAGGACTTGGGTAAATTCTGTTCTTGACCTAAAGCTTACAAACGAAGATAGTCATATGCCAGAATGGCCAAAGTGCATTTTTCTTTAACCTCTTATTAAACTCTCCTTTGGAAAGGAGAACGGGTGCACACAGTGTCCCTGAGACGACAGCCGGTGAGCAGCTCGGAGGACAGGGGGAGGCTCAGCCTGGCTCTGGTCTACGCTCCACCTGAGAGTGGGTCTGCGGGGTCTCCACGCTCACACGCTGGAACTGCATGCTCTGTGGCACAAAACAGCAGGAGGATTTGGAAACCAGCAGGGAAAAGCCCTACCCGAGGGACTCCAAAATCCCAACAGCACACCCACGGTCACCAACTTAGGGGCAGGTGGTTTTCCATAAGCTTGACACATTCCATTTTGGAATTCTGAGCATTGCCAGAGTCAGTATGGTAGTTAGCTTGGTGCTCAGGCTTGAGACAGCAACACTTTCCCAACCACTGACAGCCGTGTCCAAGTGTGGGGAAATGTCACTGGAGTCAGGGCTTTGGGCCGGCATGGGCGCCCTGTGTCCCGAGGTAGGCTGGGCGGCAGGGCAGTGTGGGGAGGCGAGGAGCAGCAAAGCAGGGAAGTGTACTTCCTCCTGGCAAGGGACCCGGGGAGGACAGGAGGCAGGGCAAGCAGACAGATTGGAAATGCTTTCCTTCTTCCTCCCAGGCACGGGGGCCTCTCTGCTAGATCTCAGCAGACCTCACAGGAGGGAGGCCACAGATGCAGCTCGGGCTGGGGCCCGCATCATCAGCGCACCCATTCCGATGTACCTCCCCCTCTCAGGACAGAGGCTTACTATGGCCCCTGTTCAAGCAAGGAATCCTGTTTTCGTGGAGAGGGTGGAGCAGAATCTGACAGGTCGGCTCAAGGGTCCCCTAGTGGTCCCAGGTTGGTAGGTGCCCCACCCCTGTGTCCATCTTCAAGCCTGGACATCCCTGCTAGATGTCCACAGCGGCATCAGCAGCTGGACTCAGTGAAGCGAAGGTGGCTTTCGGTAGTTTAAGAAGTTACAGTTGTCAAAGGGGTACTTTTTAAAAGATCAGGCCAGTCCCAAACATATTCTCACATGCTCACCAAGCTTAAGTCTAGATATGTTTAGGTGGCAAGCATTCTGCCTGAAATCTGATTTGCACCATTATTTTTCAGTATCCAGAAGGAAGGTGTTTAAGGTAAACTGCTCCATTATTAGGGAATTCGTGATCAGGGTAGTCTGAATGGACACATCTGGCCATTATCTCAGGCTCTGAAACAACTGTACATATCTGACTATCTACATACACATGCCTGCACACACAGAGACAAATGCTTTTCCCTGCTACTGATGGTTGTCCTCAAGTTCAATTTGAAAGCCAAGAATATCCACCTAAAAGCACTCATCCCACACTGAGAAGTTACGTTCCAAATGCTGTATAAGGCTTGATATGAGTTGATCACACACACACACACACACACACACACACACACACACATATTTAAATAAAAACACCCTTTAATCTTACACAGTGATATCTTTGCATCTTTCTACAATTTGTTAAAAGCATATCCCTAGGTGCTTTGCATAAAGGATTAATTTAATAAAATCTTTCCCAAAAAAGCCAGAAACCAAACTCACTGCCATCAGGTTGAATCCGACTCATCAAGACACCATAGGGCAGGTAGAACATATTTCAGAAAACAAAAATATTGCCAAGAATATGGAGAAAACCTTCCAGAATGATATGCTGCATGCTGCTAACATTTAGACTGAATGCAATGAGTTACAAGGAGCCCTGGGGGTGTGGTGGCTTAGGCATTGGGCTGCTGACTAAAGCGTCAGCAGTTCGAGTCCACCGGGAGCTCCTTGGGAGAAAGGTGAGACAGTCTGCTTCCCTAAAGATGACTACCTTTGAAGCCCTAGGGGGCAGCTCTCCTCTGGTCACGATGAGTCTAACTCAGCTGGCTACAGTGGGTGGTGGGTGGTGGGTGGTGGGAGAGCTTTCCATCAGTAAAGAGATGGAATAGGCAGGTGAGCCTGGACCACTGAGCATACGCACAGAGGAGTCTTCCCTGGAGTTGAGGTGAGTCAGTAATTTGGCTTCCTAAGAGAGCATGGAGATGAGGGAATGTTGATTTAGTGTCCAATAGGAATGAATCAAAGACTGCCAGAGGGCAATGCATACGCCGGAATTCCTCCCAGCCTTCGGTCTAAGGAGGCCCGCTGTCTAGACAGTCAGCAAGAGCAGAGGCATCTATACTTACAAGGCTACCAAAACAGCCAGACCCCACGGCCCTTGAAGCGATTCCAACTCACAGCGACTCCTTAGGATAGAGTAGTATTGACCCTGTGGGTTTCTGAGGTTGTAAATATTTGCAGCACTAGCAAGCTTCAGCTTTTCCCACAGAGAGGCTGGTGGATTTGAACTGCTGACCTTGGAGTTAGCAGTCCACCGTGTAACCCACCAGACCTCCAGGGACTCCTCTGGGGCTGTAAAGAGTGCTCCTCAATCCAGAAATGTATCTATTGCTGCCCTACTCCATCCCCTCTATCCCCCCACCTCACCCCTGCCAGTACTGACTCAAAAGGTTTGCTTCTCCACAGTTTATATTCCACTTAAGATTTTTTCTATCATTTACAAAAAAAAAACTCTATATCAATTTAAGGTCTGGGAATGTTTCAGTCTTGATAGAGCACTGAACTGGCCCTGCAAATGACCACAAATGCCTGCCTCTTTTTTGGCCAATAAGCTTATCCATTAATCAACTTTAAGAACATCTATTTTTGGCGCAGGAAAATGTAAGCAACAAAAAACTTTACACCCTGCCACCCACCCCCTTCCAACACCTTTAAAAAATTTTTGTATTTAACTTACCTTATCTGAACGGTGTAGGCATGATTGCTGGGTGTGGGTATCCACTCCAAAATTGTCTTGAAGTTAGTTGATTTCCAAGTTAAATTACGTGCCACCAATGTATCGGCATCGCCTTCAAACAAAGAAACAGCTATTATTGCACTAACCATGGACTTCTCTGCACACTTCAATTTAATCGTATAAAACAACGCTCCACCCTCTTGTCACCATAAACCAGAGTTGGTTTTTTTTTCTGGACCACCTCCCCCCAAATATCACTACTGAATTATCAAGAAAAGAGCATTCATGAGAATGCGCCCCTGGCAAGATCGACCCTGTAATGCATGAAAACTGGCACGAGTCTTGAAACACGTGTCTGAACTTATTCATTGGGGGAAATCCTGTAATAACGTGACAGCGCAGGTACCACCAGGCTTCCGAGGCGCCCCTGACCAGACGCCAGTGGCCAGCCCCTGTAGGAAAGGTTTCCAGAACATTTTGGAATGAGCAACTCCTACTACATATACAGGAGGGTTAGAAAGGTATACAATGGGGAAATAAACAAACCAAATATTGTGATTTTCCATTTGTATCCAAAAATTCTTTTATACTGACCCGTCCACCGAGACTGAGTGGCCGTGCGGCGGTCACGTTGTCGGGCGTATTTGGCGAGGGTGCTTTCCGATTGAAGTCACGCTTTCCCAATACTCCACGGCCCCCCACCCCCGTCTCTGCCCAGTCCCCCCCACGGAACGAGGATGGAGGGCGCGCACAACGCCATGCCCGTCCCAATTACCGTCCCCAAGAGCGCGGGCCACTTCATCTAAGTCAGGAGAGATGACCTCCAAACCCCGGGCCCGCGCGACCTAGTGCAGGTAGGGCCCACGCGCCCGACCTATCAACAGGGCTTCCAAGGGTGACATCGTAGATCTGCTCCAGAGCGTTCTGGGGCCAGAAGAGCCCAGGCGGCCCTTTGCTCAAACTTAAAGCCAAGAGCCAAACCCGCGCTCAGGCAACACAATGGACTCAGTCGCCCCCGCAGGAAAGGGCAGCGGGGTGCGGGGCGCGAACCACCGGCGTCCCCAGCCTCCGTGCCCCGGGGCTGGCGGCTCCGTCAACGCGGTGGGGTCGCGGGGGCCAGCCCGGGGCCACCTTGCAGGCAGGCACCCCAAGCGAGGCGGCCCCGCCGGCTGCGGGGGTCCGGAGCTACTCACCTGCGGCGCTGGTCAACTGGGCGAGGACCCAACTGAGCAGCAGCGCCCGCGCCACCGCTACGTCGGGACGCGGGGCGCGGGGTCCCGTGTGCGGCGCCATCTGCACGAGCTAGCCGCGAGGTCCGGCCGGGGCGCTGGCGTCCCGGAGGCTGCAGGGAAGTGGAGCCGGTGGCGCCCCGGGACGGCTGGAGGGAGCGCGAGGGGCCGC